GTTCATACACATTTATTTAGAGATGTTTAAAATCAATAAATTGACTTTTCCACCTCTTTCTCTTCTTTTCCTGGTTCTCTTAAAGAAATACTTGGATTATGTTGAAAAATATTACCATGCTGCTATGGATCCTGTTGATTTTGTGAATGCAGCTGATGAAAGTCGAAAGAAGATTAATTCCTGGGTGGAACGAGAAACAAATGGTAGAGTATAAATGCATCATTCATCATAAGAACACTTCTTAAGTACTTGCTGTGAATGAAACTCTGTGCTTTACACTGTGTGGGGTACCAGGGTGAACAAGCTTTGGGAGGGGGGAGTAGGCAGGGCACCTCAGATAGTTTGGTGGAATGATCTGAGTACAGATGAAGAGAGTCAAGGGGACCCACAGATGGAATCACAGGAAGCCAACCACGTGGAAATGCGGAGTACAAATCATTTGCACATGACCGTGGATCATAATATCTTTGTGGCATCTGCATCTGGGATCAGACCTCTCATGAGTTTACACTCTTTCTTTTACATCAGAACCTTGCTTTCTGGTTCCCTAAGTGAAAATGTTTCCTGCCTCTTTGTTGGTAAACATACAGCTTTACCATCAAGATTGTCTTTGCTACCTGTAGCTCCCTGCTACCTGCTCCTGAAGACACCTGCGTCTCATCTTCATGTGAACTTCATGTAGCAATATGACAACCTTTATCCTTGTTCACAACAGAGAACTAGATAAAGCCCTTAGATCACCCTTCCTTCCTCATTCCCTAGAATGAGCCAAACACCTGGATACCAGAGAGGAATGTTAATGTGGAAATGTACTTTGGGGAGCAATAGTTGATAATTTAATGTCTGAATTTCAGACTACATTTTTTTACTCCATTTATCATGGTAGTGGTGGTGGTAGTGTGCCGTGGAGTTGGTTCCGACTCATAGTGACCCTGCATAGGGTTTCCGAGGCTGTAAATCTTTATGGGAGCAGAAAGCCTCGTCTTTCTCCCACAGAAAGTCTGGTAGTTTCCAACTGCTGACCTTGAGGCTAGGAGTCTGACTTGTAACTACTACGTGACCAGAGCGCCTTAGTTATTTTGGACATCTCTGTTATTTTGGAATGCTTTTTCTTCTTAATACCTACCCTAAAGATGAGAAAATTAAAAGTGGAAAAAAAGGGGTCTATCAAAGAGTTGGGTATCCTGGTGTGTCACTGTCCATAAGATTGGTTTGAACCTCAAGTCGGTAGTTTAAACTCATCAGCCTCTCCTTGGAAACCCAAACAAGATGGTTATGAGTCAGAACCAACTCGTTGGCATTTAACAACAACAATAACAGTCAAAGAGTTGACTGAAGGTGGTATCCTTCAGTATTAGTGTGAGGTTCTCGGAAGTCATCTAGACATGAAAATGTCACCTCCTTTTTCAAATGAATTAAATAATCTTTAAATATTACAAGGGCAGCAATTCAGGGTCACCAGCCACTCCCCAAAAACCCTGTACAAGGTCTCTATGAGTTGGAACCGACTTGGTGGCACTTAACAACAACAATAAGTATCAGATAGTAACTATGTAGAATGGGCAAAAATAATAACTTTTTGTTGACAAGTTTAACAACGGTTCAGTTGGTACTGACTCATAGTGACTCTCTATAGGCTTTCTGAGGTTGCAGATCTGTAAAGAGCTGGTAGGCTCAAACAAATGACCTGTGGTTCATAACCCAACGTGAACATGTATTGGATACTTATTAAAGGAGCTCTGCTGGTACAGTGGATTAAATGTTGGATTGCTAACTGTGAGGTCTATGGGTCAAGCTCACCAGCTGCTCCATGGGAAAAAGATGATGCTGTCTGCTCCTGTAAAGACCGACAGTCCTGGATACCCTGAGACTTCAGTAGTTCTACCTGTCCTACAGGGATGCTATGAATTGGAATCGACTTGATGACAACAGGCTCAGGTGCTTACTATATGCTGGATGGCACTGTAGCTGCTTTATGCATACTAAATCGTGGATTCCTTTCAGCACCTCAATGAAGCAGGTTTTTCTCCACTGGTCTGTCAGTTTGTTATGATACTGGAAACTATGCCACTGGTATTTTAAATTTCAGCAGGGTCACCCATGGTGGACAGGTTTCAGTTGACCTTCCAGATATCTGAAGACAGACTAGGTAGGAGGAGAAGTAGACTACTTCTGAATGTTTAACCATTGAAAAACTTATGAATAGCAGATGAACATTGTCAGATACAGTGCCGGAAGATAAGGCCCTCAGGTTAGAAGTTACTCAAAGTATGACTGGGGAAGATCTGCTTCCTCAAAACAGAGCTGACTATGATGATGTGAATGGAATACAGCTTTCAGGACCTTTGCTGATAGACATAACTCAAAATGAGGAGAGAAAGCTGGAAAAATCCATGAATACAGAACATGAAATGTATGAAGTATAAATTTAGGAAAATTGGAAGTTCTCAAAAATGAAATGGAGCACATAAAGATCAATATCCTAGGCATTACTGAGCTAAAATGGACAGGTATTGGCCATTTTGAATCAGACAATCATATGGTTTACTATGCCAGGAATGACACATTCAAGAGGAATGACATTGTATTCATCATCAAAAAGAACATCTCAAGCTATCTATGATAGGACATAATGCTATCTATGATAGGAAAATATCCATATGCCTACAAGGAAGACCAGTTAATACCACTATTATTCAAATTTATGCACCAACCGCTAAAGCCAGAAATGATGAAACTGATCATAGTGGTTATGAATCGGGCCGCGAACCTTAAGGTCAGCAGTTTGAAACTACCAACTGTTTCATGGGAGAAAGATGAGGCTTTCTGATCCTGTAAAGATTTACAGCCTTGGAAACCCTGTATAGGGTCACTATGAGTCAGTTCCGACTCCACGGCACATAACCACCACCACCACCAATTTCATCAGACTGAAATTGGTCAAACATGCAATGAAGACATTGACAACTACTGGTGATTGGAATGCAAAGGATGGAAACAAAGAGGAAGGATCGGTCATTGGGAAATATGGCCTTAATGATGGAAATGATGCTAATGATCGCAAGACAGAATTTTGCAAGACCCATGATTTGTTCATTGCAAATACCTTTTTTAAAACAACATAAAAGATGACTATATACATGGACCTCACCAGATGGAATACACAGAAATTGAAATGACTACATCTGTGATAAAAGATGGTAGAAAAGATCCATATCATAAGTTAAAATAAGGCCAGGAGCAGACTGTGGAACAGACCATTAATTGTTCATAGGCAAGTTCAGACTGAAGCCAAAGAAAAGGAAAACAAACCTATGAGAGCCAAACTATGACCTTGAACATATCCCACCTGAATTTAGAGGTCATCTCAAGAACAGATTTGGTGCATTAGACACTAGTGATGAAAACCCAGAAGAGTTGTGGGATGACATCAAGAACATCATAGATAAAGAAAGAAAAAGGTCATTAAAATGATAGGAAAGAAACAAAGACAATGATGGATGTCAAAAGAGACTCTGAAACTTGCTCTTGAGCATAGAGAAGCTAAAGCATGGAAGAAATAAGGAAATGAGAGAGGCAAACAGAAAATTTCAAAGGCCATCTTGGGAAGACAAAGTCACATATTACAATGAAATTTGCAAAGACCTGGAGTTGGAAAACCCAAAGAGGGAAACACACTGAACATTTCTCAAGCTGAAAGAACTGAAGAAAAAAAATCATGCCTCAACTTGTAATACTGAAGGATTCTATGGGCAAAATATTGAATGGTACAGAAAGCCTCAAAAGAAGATATAAAGGAACACATGAGTCACTGTACCAAAAAGAAATGGTCAATGTTCAACCATTTAAAGAGGTAGCATATGATCAAGAATTAATGGTACTGAAGGAAGAAGTCCAAGGTGCTCTCAAGGCATTGGTCACAAATAACTCTCCAGGAACTGACAGAAAACAAATAGAAATATTTCAACAAACTGATGCTGCACTGGAAGCACTTACTCACCTATGCCGTAAAATTTAGAAGAGTGCTACCTGGACAATAGAGTCCTGCTGTGGCGCTGTGGGTTAATGCGTCAGACTCAAAGACGTTTGAACTGCAAGGTCGGTGGTTCAAGCTCAACAGCTGCTCCTTGGAAACCCTATAGAGGATCGCTATGGGTTGGAATAGACTCTTTAGCACTTAACAACAACAACAACAACAACCTGGACAGCAGATTGGAAGAGATCCATGTTTGTGCCCATTCCAAATAGAAGTGAACCAATGGAATGTGGAAATCATTGAACAACATCATCAGTATTATATGGAAGTAAAATTTTGTTGAAGACAAGTCAAAAATGGTTATAACTGTACCTGGATAGGGAACTGCCAGAAATTTATGCCAGATTCAGAAAAAGACACAGAATGAGGTATAGGATTGATTATGTCAGATGGATCTTGGCTAAAAGCAGAGAATATCCGAAAGACATTTACTTGTTGTTTTGACTACGCAAAGGCTTTCAACTATGTGGACCATGACAAGTTATTTATAACATTGCGAAGAATGAGTATTTCAGAACTCTTAATTGTTTTTTGCAAGGAATCTGTACATAGACCAAGAGGTAGTTGTTAGGACAGAACAAGGGCACACCGAATGGTTTAAAATCAGGAAAGGTGTGCGCCAGTGTTGCATTCTTTCACCATAGTTATTCAGTCTTCATGATGAGCAAATAATCTGAGAAGTTGGATTATATGAAGATGAACATGGCATCAGGAAAGGAGGAAGATTCATTAACAACTTATGGTATGCAGATGATACAACCTTGCCTACTGGAAACAAAGAGGATATATAATGCTGATGAAGATCAAAGACCACAACCTTCAATATGGTTTGTATCTCAATGTAAAGAAACCAAAATCTTCACAACTGGACCAATAAATAGCATCATGATAAATGGAGAAAACAGTAAAGTTGTTCAAGACTTCAGTTTACTTGGATCCATAATCAACACTCAATGGAAGTAGCAGTCAAGAAATCAAAGTACATGTTGCATTAGATGAATCTACTGCACAAGACCTCTTTAAACTGTTATGAGCAAAGATATCAATTGAAGGACTAAGGTTCCCTCTGACCTAAGCCATTGTATTTTTAACAGCATCGTATGCATATGAAAGTTGGACAATGACTAAGGAAGACTGTAGAAGAATTGATGCATTTGAGTTATGGTGTTGGAGAAGAATATTAAAAGTACCATGGATTTCCAGAAGTATTAAACAAATTAGTGTAGCAAGAAGTACAGCCAGAATGCTTCTTAGAAGCCAGGATGATCAGACTTTGTCTCTCACTCTTTGGACAGATTGTCAGGAAGGACCAGTCCCTGGAGAATGACATCATGACATCATGCAAAAAAGAAGAAGTCTCCAACGAAATTGATTGGCACAGTAGCAGCAGCAGTGAACTCAAGTGTAACAACAATTATGAAGATGGCACTATGAGTTAGAACCAACTCGATGACATCTCATAACAATAACAACACGAGGCAGGCTTTGCTCTTGTTTTACAGTTATGGAAACGGAGCCACAGAGAACTTAATGAACTTGTCCAGAATTCCTCATCTGGTGAGAGACACAACTGGAGCTAGCAGAGGTAACCTGACCTCAGAGTTCTAACCATTTCTTAACCATCACACCCTATACCCGCACTGGAGTAAATAACCTATGGACAAACTTCTGTATGATTTCCCCAGCAACCCCTTAAGTCAGCCAGGCCTTCAGGTTCTGACCTGAGTGAGTTTTTAATGATCAGTTACATCTACCTGTCTCATATCTGTCATGCATAATACTTGTAAGTTTGAAGATAAACCAATTTTGTTGTTCTTGTTTTGCAGAAAAAATCAAGGACTTACTTCCAGATGGCTCAGTTAGCAGCTCCACCAGGCTGATACTGGTGAACACAGTTTGCTTTCAAGGGAAATGGGACAGTGAGTTTAAGAAAGAAAATACCAAGGAGGAAAAATTTTGGCTGAATAAGGTATAATCCTTTATTCTCTTAGTGATGTGCTGGCACATAGAATGTAGTATGTAGACTCATGTTTGACTAAGTGTGTCAGTGTTATGTTGTTGCTAGCTGTTGTTGAGTTGCCTGTGACTTCTGGCCACTTCATGCACAGTGAAAAGAAACACTGCCCAGTCCTGTGCCATTCCCATGACTGGTTGGACATTGAACTGCTGTGATCTGTGGTTTTTCACTGACTGACTTTTTAGTTCTTTCTTTCTAGTCACTTTGAGTCTGGAAACTCTGCTAATACCTGTTCAGCATCATAGCAACACACCTACAGAGGGGTGGTGGCTACCCATGAGGTACACTGGCCAGGAATGGAACCTAAATTTTCAGAATGGAGGGAGAGCATTCTGTCACTGAACAAACAAAACATCAAATCAAAACAAACTACAAATTAGACAGCTCAAAGAAACAGAAACGCATGATGGCAGCAAGGAAAAGCTGATTCTTGAGGATCTTTTGCATGATTTTAGGTGGAGCTAATTACCATTGTGAGTCTGCTTGATTGTCTTCTGCCTCTTGTGACATTTGCATGTTGTGTCCTTGTGTTGCAGAGCACCAGTAAATCTGTGTTGATGATGAAGCAGCGCCACTCCTTTAACTTCACCTTCCTGGAAGACTTGCAGGCCAAAATTCTGGGCATCCCATATAAAAACAATGACCTTTGCATGTTCTTGCTGTTACCGAATGACATAGATGGTCTGGAGAAGGTGAGACTTTCACTTACACATACTTGCTTCCCTTCCCCAGCTTGCTTCCCTACCCTGATGTTTACGTCCCAAAGCTAGTCCTGGGTGAGCTTGGAAACAGGGCTTCCATGAAGAGCTGGTGCCTGACAGTGCCAAGTGGGAATTAATCTCCATGTGCAGCAGCTGTCCCTGGAAGTCAAAAGAGGAATACTACATGGCATCGGTCTCATGGAGAAGAACTAAAACCAAAATTTTCTGAGATAGACTGAGACAGATTTTTTTTTTGGTATTGGAGTATTAAAGATGACTCACCACTCCGAGGAATGGTTGATATTGATGGACCCTTCCTCCCAGAAAGAAAATCACATACACACATCTGCAACAAATTTTGCACACTATTCACTAGATTCATGAACCTTCTGAATTTCTTTCTTAGATCCTCAGTCTTGAACCCCTGATTAAGTGTCCAAAGTAAATCTAACTTACTTTGAAATGAAAATATACTAATGTAGCTGATGTTCTTTGCATTTGAAATCAGGAAGATTTTGTTTCAAGTGTCCATTCTACTTGGTAGCTAATTTTCCTTTGAAGCTCTTTAACGTCCAAGAACCTCAAATATTTTGGGGTTCCATAGTGGTTAGTATGTTGTGTTGTAATATATTCAGATGGAGTCCTTGGTGTGGAGCTGGAGGATGAGCACTGGACAGCAGGGTCAGTTTGAAGAGCAAGGTCAGCAGTTCAGGCTCACCAGCTGCAATAAATGATGTTATTGTCATGTGCTATTTAGTTGGTTCTGACTCATAGTGTCCCTATATAGGGTTTCCAAGGAGCCACTGGTGTGTTTGAACCACTAACCTCGTGGTTAGCAGTCAAGTCAATAAATGGTAGTACTATTAGATTCTAATACTACATGCTATGTTCATGCTGGAAAGCACATCTTTATAAATTGGAAAACATTTTGGGACAGCAAAATGACAACAATGTATGAGAGATTTAAGAGTATTCTTTGTCTGACTCCAGAATCTCAGTTGCAGGAATTATCCTAAAGAAATCATTCATAAAAGGAGACATGCCTTTCTAAGGCCAATGGATGCTTTCAGCATTAAATACAATAGGGCATCTAGTTTGAATTCCAAGGACTTAGACTTAGTCATTTTTGTCTCAGCAGCGTCTACCCCACATTGATCATAGTGCCTGGTACCATACTAGATATTTGTGAAGTAAATGGAAGGATCCATGTTGGGTGAAATATATATCATCTTGATGGAAATATCAGCAGTGTGAAGATATTTAGAGGAGATATGAGTAGTGTGAAAATGTTTGCCTTATATCACGTAAAACGGGACATTCACTGATTGCAAATCCATAAATACATATAAATATGAGAGATTAATACTGCATTTTATGCAAGGAACATGAGTGTGACATGGGTTTTGCAAATAGCACAATCCCCTGGCTTGTTAGTTTCCTATGAATGCAGTGTATTGTTTATCCTGGTGTGGCATTGTGGGTTAATGCACTGCACTGCAAAGTTCAAACACTGCAAGGTTGGTGGTTCAAGCTCACCAGCTGCTTCGTGGAAACCCTATGGGTTGGAAGTGACTCAGTGTCACTTAACAGCAACAACACATTATTTATGTGGGCATGTTATTTGCGAAAATACAACAGTAAAACATAAAAATAAATCTTTAGGTAGATAGAATAAGATGATTTATGAGTCTTATTTTAAACAATCCTTTAAATGCTGCTGGGTTTTCAAATATCTACAGATAATTTAAATAGAGAAGCATATAAAACAACTGCCTACTCTATAAAACAATAGTGTAATGAAGCGAGATTTCTGTTTTATTTATGAAAATAATTTCTGACTGATATAATTCAGCATTATATTATTTGAAGTTTATATTGATCTTCATGCCACTTTGCCCTCTTTTTAAAAATCAGATTGTAGATAAAATAACTCCCGAGGATCTGATCGAGTGGACAAGCCCAGGACACATGACAGAACGGACTGTGAGTGTCTGCCTGCCTCGGTTTCAAGTGGAGAACACTTACGATCTGGAGGACACCCTGGGTGCCATGGGGCTAGCGGACGCCTTCAGTGAGGACCAGGCGGACTATTCAGGAATGTCTGCTACTTCCAGGCTGCACACTCAGAAACTGCTGCACACTTCATTAATGGAGGTGACAGAGGATGGCACCGAGGCAGCAGCTGGCACCGGAGTGGGCTCTGGCATCACATCAGCCCCCAATGACGAAAACTTTCATTGTAATCACCCTTTTCTGTTCTTCATCAGGCACAATGCGTCCGACAGCGTCCTTTTCTTTGGCCGGCTTTCTTCTCCTTAGGACTGTCAGTTCCAGGGCATTGTTGCTGTTGGAGCATTTACACGTTTATGGGCATCACCTCTTCACCTCTTCTCTACAAAGTCGTTTTACTTGCCTGTATTCCAATCCTGGTAGCGTAGTGGTTACGAATCTGGCTGCGAACCTTAAGGTCAGCGGTTTGAAACTACCAGCCGCTCCGCGGGAGAAAGATGAGGCTTTCTACTCCTGTAAAGATTTACACCCTCGGAAACCCTGTACAGGGTCGCTATGGGTCGGAACCGACTCGATGGCACTTAACAACAACAACAACAATTCCAATCCTGCAGTCAAAATCGATGATTCAATGATTGGAACAGTGTGTGGAAGTCCTTGAATGGCCCAGGTATCCTCATCTACTAGCCGAAAGGTTGGTTGTTCAAACCCATCCAGAGATACAGTGGAAGACAGGTCTGGCAACCTACCCCAAAAGGTCACAGCTTGAAAAAACCCAGGGAGCACAGGTTTACTCTGCACGCGCAGGGCCGTTGTGAATTAGAATCGACTTGATGGCAACCACAACAACAACATTAGTGTGTGTGTGTGTTTACTATTTTCCTAGAAAGTAAAATGTCCTTTTGTTTCACACGTGTGCAGTGAGCCAACCAACAATGCATTTGAATTCTTAACAATCTTTCCTTCTTTGACATTTTGGGAAGCAAATCCATGTCTTGTAGTTTTGTACAAGTCTCTGTTATAAAGAGGATGGACTAGGGTTTAGAGGGGTCCCTCCAGTTTTGATACGTTGGTTGGGGTACTGTATGGAGTCCTGGTGTGGTGGTTTGGATTAATGCACTGGTTCAGAGCCACACCAAGCCAGCGGTTCAGACCCAGCAGTAGGAAGGTATGCTGGTCTGTTTCTGTAAAGATCATGACCTTGTAAACACAATGAGGTAGTTCTAATTTATCCTATAGTGTTGCTATGAGTTGGAATCAACTTGACATTGGGCTTGATTTTTTAATTTATATTATACAAGTAAAATCAATACATAATTCACCTAATTTGTGTGTCACTTTTTATTTCTAGTAGGTATGGGGTCAACTGTACACAAAAAAAAGAATTTAGAAGCAAGTTGGCAAACCATAAATTAAAATTGAAGAGATCAAACAAAATGAAACAGTGTATCAAGGCAGAGGGGATGCCCACACTTTATTCTCCATTCCCAAATCAACAGCCAAAACAAAACAAAGCGACGTACCGGACAGAGGATTTCCATCTTTTCATTCTACATTCCAACAGTGCTTATCAGTGATCATCAGTTGCACGAGCATGTTAGTCTTTGTGGAACACATGGAGTATTTGAGAAATTAAATGTTGTAGTCAGTCACTGATCCTTCCCTATCACTTTTCCCGGCTTAGAAAGTCAACATTTAGAACACCTTATAGGAGAATTGTACTCTTTACTTTTGACCGTTTGTGCATTTCTGGAAATGTTATGACTGAGGTGTGGGTGTTACCAAATGACGTTTTCTTAGAGATGCTTTTAAAAGACTTTGAATCTTTTCCTGATGTTCTTTTATTGTGGAGATGTTTCACTTTCATTATTATTTCAGCAAATCTACTTTTGTTTACATCTACTTTGTGTCTTTCTGGAATGTTTCATACTGTTTTGCATGTGGGTTTCTTACAGAGCGTATACATAAGCATTTGGCTTTCTTTTGATTTCACAAATGGCATCTTCTGTCTCATATTTTCGAGTCTTTCTTTGGTTTATAAATATGAAGATTCTTGATGGTATATTATAAGCTTTTTTATAAGCTGCTACCTTGAGAAATTCTAGTATTTCTTGTAGTAGTATTTCCATAGGTTAGTTTAGGCTTTCACGATAGCATAGTGGTTATGAGTCGGGCTGCTAATCTCAAGGTCAGCTGTTCGAAACTACCATTGGTTCCATGGGAGAAAGATGAGAGTTTCTGCTCCCAGAAAGATTGTGGTTGTTATGTGCCCTGGAGTGAATTCCGACTCATAGCGACTCTGCATAGGATTTCTGATGCTGTAAATCTTTATGGGAGCAGAAAGTCTCATTATTTTCCCACAAAACAGTTGGTGGTTTTAAACTGGTAACCGCTATACTACCAGAGATCCTCAGAAACCCTATGCAGTGTTGCTATGAGTGGCATGTAGCCACTAATAGTATTAGCTACAATTTTCCAGTTAATTTAAATTTTTTTGCTTTCAATTAGTTAAGCTCCTATTTCCTTTTTCTTATCTGAGATAAGAGTAATGGAGCGTTGGATGTAGTTTGTATATCCTGAATTAATGGGAATGTTGCTCATGTTCCCTTAGATCTAAGAAGCTGGCTTTGGAAAAGGTCACACATGTAAATGTTGTCTTAAGTCATGGCAATATCTATCAGTTTTCAACACTTAGAATTTGATGAATTTTTCCAAATGTGTCTATGGAAATGATCATGTCTTTTTTATTAGTTCATTAATAAGAAATATTATTATATTTTAAATTCTACTTAAATTCTCATTATTTTGAATATTCAGATTAGCATTGAATTGGAAATTCCACTCTTTTCCCTCAAAAATGAATTTAGATTAAGATTCCTCCTATATTTTCATTGTTGGTGTTGTTGTTATTAAGTGCCATCGACTTGGTTCTGATGTCACTCCTTTATAGGTTTTCCAAGGAGTGACTGGTGAGCTTGAACCGTTGACCTTGAGGTTCAAGTTGACTTTGCAGTCCTGTGCATCAGCCCACGGCACCATTCCAATTTGTCTTTCTGTCTTTTCTCACTTTTGTGTTCTAAATACTTAAAATTTGTGTTATAGAACTTTCCAACAATCAGTTGATTTTGAAAATACAGACTGAATTCATTCATATGTTGTTCTTTGTTGTTAAGTGCTGTTGAGTGTTGAGCCGTTCTGACTCTTAGTGACCCTGTAGAGGTTTCTGAGGAGTGGATGGTGAGTTTGAACCATGGAACTTGTAGTTCAAATCAACCTTGAGGTCCAGTGCATTATCCTGCATTGCCACTGTTTAAATATTTTTTGCAGTGTATTTGTTTAGCAATCAATTTGTTCACTGATTTGTATCTCCATTTATTCTTTGAAAGGGTTTAAGACGGCAGAGCCTTTTAATTTACCTTTTCTCAGAGAACATAAGGACATTCTTTCCTAGTTTATAATATCATTTCATTTTAAAATCTAAAATGGTCTTGACTTTTCACCATTTACTTTCAGAAAATGAAATTGCTTATAAAATGTGCTGCCATTGAGAATAGTAAGAATGCTTTAAGGAAACCTAAGAGTGTCCATACCATTTTCAACAATAAAACCAACTTTGAAGTGATTAGTTCTCATTGGTTTAGGGGGTGGAATAAATTACCTTCAACAGATCATATACTTCACTTCATTTCAATGAATGTAATCCCCTCCATGCTACATCACTTTCCCCATTTCCTCCCTGAGATTCTTGTTCCCATTCAACTGTCTTTCCTAACCCTTCTGAATTTTCTTCATAGGTAAATGCTGTCCTTTTGATCTTGAATAAGTTATTTCCATATGCTTTCTATTGAAGACATGTGTTTTTCTTTCACCTGATAGTATTTAAAAATTACTCTTAATTATTTTGAGCATTTCATGTAAACAGGCAGAAGTTCATATAACAATCAGATTCAATAGATGTTTACATTTTTCCTATTTGTTTCACTTTTTAAAGACAGAAATGTTACAGCTAATGTTAAAATCTTACCCTTACTGTTACTTAGTATTGAAGGGTAATCACTACCTTTACTCCTCACTTATCAATATGGTTAGGTTCCAAAGACAAGCTCATGATGTGGAAATCAACATTATACGGAAATGGAGAATAACTACATCAGGTCACAAAATGGTGGTCTGAGGATGAGTCAGAGCAAGATCCAGACTCAGCAGAGAGCAAGCAAGCTTTGCCTGAGTGTCCAATCTATTGGAAGCAGGCCACACCCCCAAGGAGACGTCCTTTCCATTGATTGGCTGCTCATAACAGATGTCATCATGGGAAATGATTGCCTCTTATCTGTCAAACCACTGAGAATCCTGGTCCAGTTTCATTGACACAAAACCTAAACTATCACAGAGGGTGACACTATCTTTACATAACTATCAAATTACATCATTACACAACCCAAGAGTCCTGGGATGGCACTGTAGGATAAACACCGGACTGCTAGCTGCAAGGCTGGCAATTCAAACCCATTAGTTGCTCTCTGGAAACCCTATACAGGGTCGCTATGGCACTTCACAACAACACTCGCCAAACCGCTGAGATTCAGCCCAGTCAGGCTGATAAGATCGTCAAAATAGCCAGTGTCACTCTTACCTGGAAGCTTGGCATGTGTTACTGCCAGATGCACATCATTAACACACAAAATAGCTAGACAGTTGATTTTCCACTATGGTTGTAAATGCAAAATATTGGATAACAGCATTATTGACAAGTGAGGGATAGGTATATTCCGAAGGTGGCATTTGTGGCCCGAATCATGATATTTACTCCCTCTATAGATAGACACGGCTTGCGAACCTTAAGGTCAGCAGTTCGAAAATCCCAGCTGTTCCGCGGGATGAAGATGGGCTTTCTGCTCCCGTAAAGATTTATAGCCTCGGAAACCCTGTATAGGGTTACTATGGGTTGGAACCGACTCCATGGTACTTAAGGAGTCCTGATGTGGCGCTGTGGGTTAATGAGCCAGACTGCAAAGCCGTTTGAACTATGTAAAAGTTCCATTATCTTTTAAATTAAAATTTGAACAAAGTTTTAAGTTTTTAAAGCATCTATCTATCTATCTATCTACACACAAATATATATACTTATATATACACACACACATATATACACACACAAAAATAATAAAAGCAACAACACCCCCTCCCATCACAAAAACCTATTCCTGGTGAGTCGATTCTGAATCATAGCGACCTTATGTTATTGTTGTTGAGTGCTGTTTAGTTGGTTCGGACTCATAGCAACGCTGTATTAGGTTTCCAAGGCTTTA